ACAGATGTTCCAGTTACTCTGGTGCTGTCCTCTGCCCACTGCTGGAAGATCTGGGTACACTGACCAGGGACCCTGTCTTAGTCATCTAGTGCTGCTGTAAACAGAAATACCACAAGTGGATGGCTTTAACAAAGAGAAATTTATTCTCTCACAGTCTACTAGGCTAGAAGTCTGAACTCAGGATGCCAGCTCCAGAGGAAGGCCTTCTTTCTCTGTTGGCTCTGGCGGAAGGTCCTTGTCATCAATCTTCCTTGGATGAGGAGTTTCTCAGTGCAGGAAACTCGGGTTCAAAGGATGCGCTATTGTGGCTCTTGTTTCTTGGTGGTATGAGGTCCCCTTGTCTCTCTGCTCACTTTTCTCTAAGAGATTGATTTAAGACACAACCTAATCTTATAGATTACTGCCTCTAATCCTGCCTCATTAACATCACAGAGGTAGGATTTACAACACATAGGAAAATCATATCAGATGACGAAATGGTGGACAATCACACAATACTGGGAATCATGGCCTAGCCAAGTTGACAGATATTTTTGGGGAACACAGTTCAATCCATGACAGACCTCCACCAGTCTCTGTGACTGGGAAGCCTGGTTTGCCCCTTTATAACTCTCTGGGCAATTAATTCTCTCAGGGCTGACACCCCAGTCTAGGAATGAAGCTGAGAGGGCTTAGCAAAGCACACACCCTCAAGATCCACTTCCCTGGGGCAGGTAGCTTTAGCTTGCCCACCATTTTCCTGACTCAGACCCACCCTGTCACTTAGCTCATTTTATGTATATATTTTTATACCCAGCCTCACAGTCACTTTCCCCCAGACCCAGGGCGTCTGGGTCCAAAAGTTTTCTACTCTTCAGCTTCAGTCACACACTGTGCCCTGAGCTAACTTTGTTTCCTTATTTCTGCATTCTGGCCCCTAGAATGAGGAAAATTCTATCTCAGGCCAAGTCCTGTCCCCATTTCCTGCTCTGCATTAAAGAACTCGTGCATATTCGTGTGGGGGAGGGGCCGGGGGGTGGGGGCAGATGTGTTAAGTGCCACCCTTAAAGCTGGTTCCTGAATGAAAGTTAGGAATATGCCCATCCTTCCCTTCGTGGGACGCAAAAAAGACAGTTTTATTTTTGTTGAAAGAGTAATTGTTATATTGAGATAATTTTAGAAGTTGCAACAGATCTATAATACTCATATGAATCGGTTCAAATTCAGCTGGGTTATTGAAGCTACATTCTCGGTAATGGGGGATTGGGCTGAAAGGGACTAACATTGATTGTGACCTGCTTGTTTGCCAGGTGTTAATTCCCACACTTCTATAAGGTCATTAAATGGTCGTTATTATCTCTCTTTTACAAATGAAGAAACTAAGACTCAGAAAGGTTGGGTAACTGGTTACTAACCTGCTGTAGCACTGTGAGAACCCCTCTCTACTCCCCTCCCCGCAACCCTACACGGTCTCCTTCATGGGGATGCCCCATCTGATTTTGAATCGGGGCCTACCGGAGAAGCATTAGGCCTTTTGTGTTCTTCCTGATGTCACCCAATACTTTTTCCACGGACCTGTAAGGAGATATTCTAATTGATTATTGTATCCATGGCTGAAGATAAATCACCTTCTCCCCCCTATTTGAACTAAATGGATGTTTCCTGAAACAGGAGCACCTTGGGCAGGGCCTGCCATACACAAGAGCAGCAGCCACTGCCCGTGCGGGGCTTGCCCGGTGCCAGGCTCCCCTCACAGTCCTTTGTAAATGTAACCAGTTTATTGAAAAGCCCCAGCTCACCCTGTGGTAAACGTGAAATAATTTTTTCCCCGATAATTGTCCCAGCTATACTCTGTCATATCCTCCTTTCCTGCTAGATACAGGTATGTAAGAGAAGGAAAGCTTGCTCCTAACAATATGAGATCATTTGTTAATTTAAACAACATACATTATTAACAAGTACCTTATTTTTATATTTTTGAAATATTTTCTCTTTCACTTCCCCAAAACTGAAGGTCTACCGGTGGATGGAATGCTCAGTAAATCCCCAGCTTCCAGAACCTAGAGACACAACATTGCCCTAGACTATTAATTAGTTAAATGTGCCGTGAGTCAGTTTCAGAAATTTTAGTTTAAACACCAGTGGGATGATTATTACCAAGAGGCTTGATATTTCTGGTCTGTTGGTCACCCCCTTTTTCCTCATGATTTTCTCCCTCTGCTTCTCAGCAAGGGAGGTTTCTTGTTGGAGAATTTCCTTCCTTAAAGCACTGAACCCTGGACACCAAGGATTTTTTTTGTTTTTAATTCTGTAGGATTTCGCATTCTGAACTATTATTTTACTCTAACAAAGCACCCTGCCATTTTTACTGTATCATACAAAGTATCTTTTCTTTACCAATGCTTTTAGCAATAAAAAATGAAAACAAATTATCAAACCTTCATCCAATTTACAGTGAATATTACTTTTAGGAGTAATCAATGCAAAATAGAGCTAGCAAAAGCTAAAATTTCACCCAATTTTTTTAAAATGTCACACCTTAGTGACACAAAATTGACCTCGCATTCTGAAAGTTGACCTGAAATCAGAAGTTCTTCTGAGTCCTACGAAAGTCTCACTTCAAGGAAGCGTGGCTTTAAATGCCCTTGTAGACGAGGTACCCCCATCCACAGAATTTCTTTCCTTCCACATTTCAAGCTTCCGTTTTCCCTTGTGACAAAATAAAAAGCAAAATGTTATAGCCATATCTGACATCTGCACACTTACTCCATAAATAGCTATAGTTGCTTTTTTCCCAATCATCAGTTCCACTGGCCCTGGTCTGTAATAAAGATCTCCAGAAATGAAGCCCCTAAGAAATGGAAAAACATAAAATGGACGGGCTTTGTAAACCATTAAATGCCACACTGGTAAGAGATCTGGCATTGTTCAGGTCACTTTCTGCTGAATGCACAGGCGTGCTATAATTGTTTCCTCACCATCTCCCTAGCTGCTAATAGACACAATAGCTACTAATAGATATAAAAGGAGCCCTGGTAGCACAGTGGTTACAAGCGCTGGGCTGCTAACCAAAAGCTCGGCAGCTCGAACTCACCAGCTGCTTTGTAAGAGAAAGATGCGGCAGTCTGCTTCCATAAAGATTTACAGCCTTGGAAACCCTACAGGGCGGTTTTACTCTGTCCTCCAGGGTCGCTATGAGTCGGAATTGACTCGATGACAATGCATTTGGGTTAATAAACATGAAGTAAACTACGTGCTTTAGAGGGAGATGATTGCCCTATGAAGAAATCCAGAACTCTGCTAAGCTATCTTAGTGAAGTGAAAGAGGAAGGGCAAGTAAATCTAGCCCACTCTGAAGAGGGGCAATAAATGATGTCCATTGCCCGCAGGGGGAGTTCTACTTTTATTATCACTGTTTACCTTTCATTACTCCCTTTTATTGCCCCTTTCCCTACCTGCTCTCTGTACATGTTATTTGGCATGTTGACATGGCTGTCTGATTAGTATTTAATCCCCAGAGAGAGGAACTTAAAGTTCTCCTCCCAAGACACATACTGCGACGTGCTCAGAAGTGGTCTAACCCTGTGGACAGGAGCCTAACTTCAGAGAACCTAGGCTAATGATGATGTTCTACTCCTCCCTGTCCTGTTTATTTTGTAAGTAGTAAATGCCTGTTGATCACGCCATTAGCAGTGTCTGATCTGTGCTCTGCTCCAAATGGTCCTTCCCTAAGAACTTGTGGATAGAGTGACGTTGCAGGGCTTTTGATTCATAGAGGGACCATACATAGGTTTTAAAGAACATCAGCTCCTTTTATCATCATTATTACTACTGTCACTCAAGTTATTTTTTCCAAAGAGTAGCACACAGAAATACGACAATTTACACACTTCTATCCCACCCTCCCCAAACACATGATACTGTGGCCTGTGGTCAGTCTGACTGTGGGTCTGGCTGTTGCTTGGCTACCGACAGGGCTAGTTAGAACCAGAGGCAGTCACTGCTGGAAACACAGCCTAGAAGAAAAAGCATCCTCTAATGGGTGATGGAGATGAGTGTTCCCAACTAGAAAGGATGCCCAAGAACTGAGAGCCAGTACATTGTTAATGCACATTTTTAAATGGCTGTAAACAGATCACAAGGAGGGTTGGCTTTTGTTATTATTCTTGTATTTAACAAGGAGTTATGATGCACTCTCTTTAAGCTGCCAAACATAAATCAACCAAATCTGTTGCTCTCGAGTTGATTCCAACTCATAGCGACACTATAGGGCAGAGTAGAACTGCCCCATAGGGTTTCCAAGGAGCAGCTGGTGGATTCAACTGCCGACCTCTTGCTTAGCAGCCAAGCTCTTAACCACTGTGCCACCAGGGCTCATTAAACCAAAGAAAGGGCTGAAATGAGAGGCAGTGTAAATTATGGCTCCACTGTCAGCCCTGAACACAGTCAGGCATTTCTTTTCAGGGCCCAGAATAAAGATCCGGGGGTGTCAGCCAAGAGCGAAGTGAGTGGCTTCACCCTCCCCTGTGAGTGTCCTTCAGAGGCCTGGGTAGCCTCAGCACTTCCCCTACAACCCTCTTGCCCTCCCTTCTCCCTACCATCTTGTCTGTACATATTGCGATTCACGCTTTTAAAAATAGCTATGAGCAGTGGGGAGTTGTCTCTGAACCTGGCTCCCAGCCCTGAAATGCAGACCTCTCTTGTCGAAGAGCTGCCCTAAGAGAGCGTAATTCTAGCTTCCAGTCTTACCTTTCATGCAGCACAAAACTTTCTCTCCAAAGTAGGCCCAGGTTGTCTGAAATACTCAGAGATACGAGGCTGCTTCTTTAGCTAAGCCTTGCCTTTCTTCACCTCCTTAATAATTCATCAGGCTCATCTCCAGAGGAATCTGATGGCATTGCTTTTGCTTTCTTGCAAAACTCCCTTGAAACTCCCAGAGGATACCTGGACACTTCACTGTTGAGGACAGCCCCAGCTCTCCACAGCGTGTCTTGAGCCCCAGAGAAGAGGACGTGGCCAAAATGAGTCTCCAGAACTCCGAAGGCCATCCTGGCCTGGGAAATAACATGTTTGTCCCACAGAGCCCGCAAGGCAATGAAGACAGCAGGTCAGGAAGAAATTCCAGTGCATGTGGGAATACACAGGACGTGGAGACTGTTGACCTCCCACCCCTGGTTCCCATGGCCCCTTGGGGCTCTCAGGTATGTCTGTATTCCTGGGGAGAGGGCTCCTGCTTCCTTCCCTGATCACCTGCATTGCTCCTGAGTAAAGACGTTGTGTTGTTGTTAAGTCCTTTCTTTCCCAGAAGAGCCCTCCCACCCCCATGCCTGTCTATCTTTACCCCCATTCCCCCACCAGGGCTCAAAAAAGCTGTTAACTGCAACAGTGGTGACCTTTTATTGAGTGTTCACTATGTGTCTGATACACTACTAGGGAGGTATTAGTATCGCCATTTGATGAAGAATTTGAGGCTCAGAGACATTAAGGAATTTTCCCAAGGTCACACAGCTAGCTAGTCAATGGGAGAGCTGAGATAGAAGATCTTTCCTTTAATATGATGTTGATAAGCGTGAACAAGATCACAAAAAGGACCTAGGAGAGTGCTTGGCACACAGCGCAATCTAGCATAGTTGCATAGTCATAAACGTAATCACCTGCAACTCAGAGTGTGGAGGGAATGTACGATTTAGTCTTTCTCATGATCCCCACCTGTTGGTCAGTGAAAAGAAAACCTTTAATAAGTAAGTCTCTTCTGGTAAATTTAGTGGGCTGCAAAAATTGAACAGTGTCTTTAGGTGATTATCAGTTGATCCAGGGTCTACCTCCCCCAGCTTTCTGTAGCCTTCCGGCAATTCCAGGAGTGGGCAGTGTTCTTGTGCTCCATCCCCCATCCCCCACCCACCACTGCTATGGGCTCAGCGGCGATGCCAGATGGAGCTCTGCAGGTGGTGAGCCTCGTTTGCAGGGTGTACCGGCCATACTCCCCTTGCCTCCTGGACCCCACATCCATGCAGACTCTTCCATCTGGCCCGTGGTTTGGTGGGTCCACCCAGGGCCCTGACCATGGGGTCACCTTGCCTGGCCCCAGTGGGCCCCATTTCATACCTGCAGCTCTCAGCCCAGCATCCAATCACACAAGGATACCAAGGGCCACTTGGGGGCCAACCCAGTCCTCATTAGGACACTGCTCCATCCTCTTACCAAGGCTGGCTGCCCCACGGAAGTGTAAGGTATCTGCAGAGCACTCTCCTCTCAGAGCCACAAATGAAGAGTGGTCCAGAATCCCGTCCCCAGGGTCTCCCTCAATGCTTCCTCTTCTATGCCCTACACTATCTCACCCTTCCTGAAGGGGAACTCTGGGCACATGTTTTCCCCCATCCCCTCTGCCTTTCCACCTCTTCCCTTCCTCTTCCTGACTCCACTTTCCCTGCAGACATCTCCATCTCTGTGGTCTAGTGGGCTAGGCCTGTTCTGTTCTTTTTTTCATTGTTGTAAAACTATGTATAACCCAACATTTGCCAATACAACATTTTTTATGTGTACAATTCAGTGCCACCAAGTATCTGTCAGTTCATCATTCTGTGGTGTCTTGCATGTTGCTGTGATACTGGAAGCTATACCACTAGCATCTCAAATACTAGCAGGGTTACCCATGGTGGACAAGTTTCAGCAAAGCTTCCAGACTAAGACAGACTAGGAAGAAGGACCTGGCAATCTATTCCTTAAAAAAAATTAGCCAGCAAAAACCTTATGAATAGCAGTGGAACGTTATCTGGTATAGTGCCAGAAGATGAGCCCCTCAGGTTGGAGGCACTCAAAAGATGACTGGGGAAGAGCTGCCTCCTCAAAGTAGAGTTGACCTTCATGGTGTGGGTGGAGTAAAGCTTTTGGGACCTTCATTGGCTGATGTGGCACAATTCAAAATGAGAAGAAAAAGATGCAAACATCCATTAATAATTGGAATGTGGAATATACCAAGTATGAATCTAGGAAAATTGGAAGTGGTCAAAAATGAAATGGAATGTATAAACATCAGTATTCTAGGCATAAGTGAATGGAAATGGACTATTATTGGCCATTTTGGATCAGACAATCATATGGTCTACTATACCGGGAATGACAAATTGAAAAGGAACAGCAGTGATTGGAAAATATGCATATGCACGCAAGGTAGACCAGTTAATACTACTATTATTCATATTTATGCATCAACCACTAATGCCAAAAATGAAGAAATTGAAGATTTTCATGAACTTCTAGAGTCTGAAATTGATCAAACATGTAATCAAGATGCATTGATAATTACTAGTAGTTGGAATGTAAAGTTGGAAACAAAGAAGAAGGGTCAGTAGTTGGAAAATATAGCTTTGGTGATAGAAATGATGCCAGAGATTGCATGATAGAATTTTGCAAGACCAAAGACCTATTCATTGGAAATACCTTTTTTCATGACTATACACATGGACCTCACCAGATGGAATACACAGGAATCAGATCGACTACATCTGTGGAAAGAGACAATGGAAAAGCTCAATATCATCAGTCAGAACAAGGCGAGGGGCCGACTGCAGAATAGACCATCAATTGTTCCTGCGCAAGTTCAAGTTGAAGCTGAAGAAAATTAAAATAAGTTCATGAGAGCCAAAGTATGACCTTGATTACATCCCACCTGAATTTAGAGATTATCTCAAGAGTAGATTTGACACATTGAACATGAAGACCAGACGAGTTGTAGAATGACATGAAGGACATCATATGTGAAGAAAGCAAAAGGTCATTAAAAGGACAAGAAAGAAAGAAAAGACTAAAACGGATGTCCGAAGAGACTCTGAAATTTGCTCTTGAGTGTAAAGTAACTAAAGCTAATGGAAGAAATGGTGAAGTAAAAGAGCTGAACAGAAGATTTCAAAGGGCCGCTCAAGAAGACAAAGTACTATAATGAAAAGTGCAAAGACCTGGAGTTAGAAAACCAAAAGGGAAGAACACCCACAGCATTTCTCAAGCTGAAAGAACTGAAGAAAAATTCAAGCCTCAAGTTACAATATTGAAGAATTCTATGAATGACTCAGGAAACATCAAAAGAAGATAGAAGGAATACAGAGTCACTCTTCTGAAAAGAATTGGTTAATGTTCAGCCATTTCAAGAACCAATGGTACTAAAGAAGTCCAAGCAACACTGAAGGCATTGGCAAAAAACAAGGCTCCAGGAACTGATAGAATACCGTAGGGATGTTTCAACAAACAGATGCAGCACTGGAAGCGCTCACTCGGCTATGTCAAGAAATTTGCAAGACAGCTACCTGGCCAATCAACTGGAAGAGCTCCGTATTTGTGCCTTTTCCAAAGAAAGGTGATTCAACAGATGCAGAAATTATCAAACAATATCGTTAATATCACATACAAGTGAAATTTTGCTGAAGATAGTTCAAAAACGGTTGCAGCAATACATTGACAAGGAACTGTCAGAAATTCAAGCTAGATTCAGAAGAGGATGTTGAATGAGGGATACCATTGCTGGTGTCAGATGGACCTTGTCTGAAAGGAGAGAATACCAGAAAGATGTTTACCTGTATTTTATTGACTCTGCAAAGGCATTCGACTGTGTGGATCATAACAAGTTATGGATAACATTGCAAAGAATGCGAATTCCAGAAACACTTAATTGTGCTCATGAGGAACCTGTATACAGACCAAGAGGCAGTGATGAACAGCGCAAGGGAATACCACATGGTTTAGAATCAGGAAGGGTGTCCGTCAGCATTGTATCCTGTCACCATACTTATTCAATCTGTATGCTGAGCAAATCATCTGAGAAACTGGGCCATATGAAGAACATGGCATCAGGATTGGAGGAAGACTCGTTAACAACCTGCGATATGCAGATGACACAAGCTTGCTTGCTGAAAGCAAAGAGGACTTGAAGCACTTACTGAAGAAGATCAAAGACTACAGCCTTCAGTATGGATTACACCTCAACATAAAGAAAACAAAAATCCTCACAACTGGAC